AGGGCCGGGGCGCGGCGGGGAGCGCGGTCGGGGATGCTGCCTGCTTTGCCTTTCCCCTTTTTTTCCCCCCCGTTGTTTCTTTTCCTATCCCCCGTTCGTAAAACCCTTCCTTCCCCGCGGATGCCTTTTTTGCGTTTCCATCCCGACGGCGAAAGTTCGAGTTCTGTTTCGCAAGGTCACTGAAATTCACTGCTAAGGCGGTTTTGGTCCAGAAGGCAAAGAAGCGACTTAACCCGCTATAGAGCTTTGTTCTTTTTTTTTCTTTTTTTTTCTTTTTTTTTTTTTTTACACCGAAGAAGGGAATAATTGTGTTTTTCCTAAAGCGTTTAAGGCTTAGTGAAAAGAGTGAGCCCGAGACTGGAAATTCTTGATTTACGTTTTTTCAACATTGTAAAAGCCAAAACATTGTGAAGAAAGCTAAAGCCCTCGGTCCTCAGCCCTGTGCCTAGTCCTGAAATTACAGGGAAACGACACAGGAACGTGTGATGTTTATTCTTCTGACTTTATCCAGACCATGTATTTTGTAACAGAGCAAGTCACAAACACTGTGTCTTAATAATTCACAATAATTATAAATATTCTTCTGGGGAAAACATTCAGCATATCACACGTCAAAAAAAGATGTGGATACTGACATTTGCAGTGTTACATCTTGCAGCATTTAAGAGTATAAATTTTCCTAAAAGCTTATAGAACTACATTGCTATTTAAACAAAAATTTTCATTCTAAAAGACTTTCTCACCTGTCAGGTGTTTTTGCTATTCTTTCTGTAGAAAATGTAAAGAAGTGAAAATTCAAACACAACAGTGTGTGTGTGTGTACACTGTGTGTATATATATACATAGACAGTGTATACTTCTGTGTATATATACACAGATATTACAAAGATAATTGAAGAGTAAATTACACATGACAAGTCATAAAGTGATTAGGATATTGATATTGAAATAAAGGAAACCTCAGTGGCAGGTTTAAACATGAGCTAGAAAGTAGTAACTTGTTTTATTTAATTGCATAAAAGCTTTTAAGAAATCATCATAAAAACAAGAATATAAAGTTCTAAGCAAAAGATAAAGCAAAGCTTTTGAGTGCAGAATTATTGCAGTTAGATAGAGTACAATCTGATTCCTATTTCTAATTTATAAATTAGATATTAGCCTGTTTAAAAAAAACCCCAAATAGCAGGAAATGTCAGCATTATTCCAAAATAAAAAATGAGAATCAAAATACCAGCGATCAAAGTGTATGCCAGAGTGCTGAAAAATCACCAAATCACTGAAGTCACAAAACACATTAAAAACCTTTTTTTTAAAAAAAAAAAATTCACATTTGTAACAGTTACATTTAATGTTCCAAACAATACAAAATGTCTTAAAGTATTTATATGCAGTCACATACAGTTGGCACAAGAAGGAGATGTACTAAAGGGCACGGAACACTTTTTCTCCCCCTTTAATAAGAAAAATTCCAGTAATATTAGCTACACAAACAACATTCAAAAAATAAATATTTCAACAAATCTCTGTCAAAGCTGAGAAGAAAGTTCTGCTATAGTAGTCTTAGCATTTTTCAACAGGACAATGAAGAAAATAACAACAATAGAGGTATTAGAAAAGAAATATTTATTTCACAAACATCTTCATTTGGAAAACACTCACTGGCACACAGATAAGCTCCTAGAATTACAAAATAAAAAACAGCCACAAAGGCTCTCCAAACCTTGTGTTTCTGTAATTTTTGTCAGATATGGAGGATGTGTTAGTAGGCCAGAATTCTAAAGTGCTTCAATAGTTTAGCTCAGTCTTTTAAAACAAAAGAAAAACCCTCATTATGTTAAATAAAAACACTAATATCTTTCTCAGATGTTACTGCCGGTTTTGGTTTTATATCCTTCTCTTTTACATATTTTAAATAAATTTGCTAAACATTTTTCTTGTAATGTGCCCTCTTAAAAAAAAATAAAAGTCAAGTAATCAAAATCTCTGCTGGGCAACAACAGCTAATTTTTAAAGCTACTTTTGGTGATAACTTGTTGCTTTAATTAAATGTTATCACTTTTACATTAAAATAGCACTGCTGCTAACTCACACACAAGCTGAGAAGGTGAATAGATACATTTGTGCAATTCAGTAAGACCCAGTGAAAAGAAACATGGATATTTATCTTACCAAAGTGCTACCATCGACAAAATACAGTGGCTTAAAGTAGTTACCCAAGAGATGTTATTCTCAGGCTATTAAAACATGTTTCTGAAATTACACAGATTCCCAGCTGGATGCTTTAAAAAAGCATGCCCACACATGTCTATGCTACCACTTATTAGCAGGCCATTTAATAATCTATTGTTTCTGTAATTCAAAGGTTTAAAATGCTCCTTTGAAAGTAACCACAAAATTCTTAGAGAAAAAAAAAAGGCATGTATTTATATCCATTTCTAGCTGGTAACTACAGCACTGAAGTTAATGGGAGCTTTGCTAGGGTGATCAGACCCCCTAGCTCTTTTTAATAGCAGTTAAATGTCAAATATAAATACAACACCACAGTGAAACATATTCCTTTGACAGAATCTGGGACAAGACACTACGCAGCTGCTGCGAACAATAAAGAGCAAAACTGACATTTAATCAAAATAAGTGTTGGTGGTTACGAAGTTGTGTTCAAGCCTGCCTTTTGTTTGTGAAAAAAGTCAATATTCCAACGTGTTAACTACAGCCACAATGAAATCAGCAGCTCCTGTTACTCCTGGAGAGCGGAGAGGGCCACGTCCATGCAGCGTGTTATAGCCATGTGATTATCATCACCTCAGAGAGGGAGATACTCTCAGGTTCAGCTGCTAAACTAGAACATCTCTCCTGACATCTTCTAGTATAGGTGTCTAAAGTGAAACAGAAATCCTGGCCCTAGCAAGGTCAATTCAAAATTCAGCCATTGGTTTCAATGAACCAGGATTTTCACTGGGAACGAGTAGCCATAAGTCCCTGGGAACTGAGAATCTCCAGCAAGCCTAGAAATAATGTAATTTTTACTTATGTTTCTAAACTTCTACCCAAACATGCTCAAGAATTTTTGCCTTCAGTACTTATGCATGGTAAAACCAGGCTTTCCATAAGCATTACAGAAAGACCAGAGGAAGATGTATTTATATCTCAAATTGTCAGCAGCATATAGTTTGTACAAATGTTGTTTTGCTGATGTTGCTGAGCTACTTTAAAAAGTGAGTAACTTGGGGGGTGTGTAATTTCATCACCAATGTCAAATGACTTCTAAAGATGAAACTTCTCTGATGCAAATTACAAAAAGATGCTTTGAATATGTTTGATATGATATAGCAACTTTTAAGATGAGGAATCAAGTTATCAACTTTATTTTTCAGATGCAACACATGCACTCACTGAGGAAAATATTTTAACTGCCACCTATGTCAGCAGAGCATGACTTACCCAATACTGAGATTGTAATAGTCACAAAGACATAAATAGGTAGCATGTAGACCTGAATCAAGATACATTAAAAATAAAAATCAACAAAAAAATAGTATCAAGGTCTGTTTTCAACATTTTGTAAGGACAAACGGTTGTATGAACGATGGGTCTTTTAGGTATGTGTTACCAGCCAGTCCTGTTTATGTGGTACATATAATCAGTAAACAGAGCAGAAACTGCTTTGTACTGTCCTTAAGATAGCAATACAGGAATGATTTTTCACGATTCTTCAGAAGCTGGGCTTGCTTTACATCCAGATGAAATGCTGTCATCACTAGGTCCAAGCCCGGAGGATGAACTGCAGAAAAGGGAGGCGGGGTGGGGGGAGAAGAGAAAAAAAAAATAAAAGGAGGAAATTGGTTTTCACAACACACTCAAAGCCTGAGTAACAGAGGAGAACTTTAATTATCTCCAGTCACAAAGAGAGACAGGAAATTTGGACTTTTAATTAGCCATTTGGAGTGCAGTTGGATATTTTTTTAGCAAGATAATTTAAACGCGAATAATTCAAGTCTGACTAAATGAAATTCACATAATCAGAATGCAGATAATTGAATTTCTACTGCATTCATTAATTCAGTGTGGAGGTGTGTGTGAAGACTTCTATGATGAGCTGTCACAGCTCAATAAAATCTCAGTCAATTAATTTTTTCATTATCTTAGCATTACATCAACAAAAAAAGTGAAGCATGCGCGTGTGTATGTATGGATATATAATCTCAGAAAGTAAGGAAATACAGAAATCACCTCTCTGAATCTGACTCTGCATTGGTTTTGCCTTTTTTGCTCTCTTCATCTTCTATAGGAAAACGACTGTTCAAAGAGGCAAACTTGTGAATTGCATCAGCAACAGAGTATTTGGTCTGTCCGGATACACAAGCCTCCATGTCCTCTGGGCTGAGCTGAGTCTGTAAGAAGAGGTGAAGCCTACTGTCTGAAAGCAATAATGCATCTTGGAGGATCCTGGAAAAAGGAAAATAAAAGCAAATGTTTATATATAACCTACACACACACACACACACATATATTCTGAAGAGCAAATTCTAAATGCTGCCCTGCTTTCAAGTTTTCAGATGAATCCTAAATCAGGAACAGAAGGTAATGAACATATTAAAATGATTAGGTGCGTGTTACTTTCTTATTACATTATTTGGAATTTTAGGTGAGTAAAAACACGAAGCTAATAGTTAGGCACATCTGCTATTAAAATAACTTCAAGGACATTTCTTCCATTTAACCATCTGTTATTACCACATGGGTAAATTAATGATTTGTAGGCAGTTGGAGGCATATACTCTTACAAAAATTTGCTCTATGGTTTTTTTTTAAAAACTCCAACCCTTTCTAAAAATTACAAGTCACCAATTTGTTTGGTGGAGCAAAGAAGTGTGCAGAGAGACAGAAGACTTCATGCATATGTAACATCAGGACTTTAGAATACTTGTAAACAACAGAGCCAATGCTAACCAAAATCATTTATGCTTTTACAAATATGTGTACACTTAAGCTAGTATGAAAATGCTAATACTGGTTTTCATTTACTGGCAAACAGTTTTCAGGGAGTCTTAAATTTTCTTTCATTCCAGCTATTTTTTTCAAAAAACCCATTTTAATCTTTGGTTCATGTGCATTTTAAATTAAGTCTCCAAATAAATTCAGCACAGAGTGTCTACTTATATCAAGTGAGAGTAAACAAAACACAGCACATTCCAGTAACACAGAAAGTTGCAGAGATACTTTTCCAAGGCCTGAGAGAATTGAGGATCATCATCACTATTTTGGAAAAAAACAAAGCTATGCAACTCTTCTTCAACATTTCTCTAAAGAAGGAATTCTTTAATACACAAATCCTAGAATGATGAACAAGAGACTTTTTTATATGTACATGTAATTTTACTCATGTAATAAAGATGTCAGAGCCTATGACCATGCCAAACAGTGCTCCACAGAAAATGATTAAAATATCTTTGAACAACTCAAACTATTAAGAGTCAATATTTACCTATTTCTACCCATTTAGGTTACAGTTGTTACTGAAAAAAAGTCACTGTTGCACAATAGGAAACAAGAGATGACATTAATGTACGAACTAGTAAGAGCAGAAAAGAAATATTGCATTTTAAAGGTTCTCTGACTAAAATGAAAAGTATAACTGATTAGTTCCTTCTCTCGAATAAGATTAATGGCGTGTTTGAACTGTAATGTTTTAAAACACAAATATGTTCTGAAAACTGTTCTCTAAAGTAGCCAACATTACAATAGCATTTAATAAACACGAAAGGATTTCTGGCTTCATCCAAGCCTATAAAAATCTGTCATATCAAAATAAGTAGCGAGAGATACCTAACCGAAAACAGGAGATGTTTGTGTGCATGCACATTTCGCTTGCGTAAGTAAACACACAGTCTCAACCAAATAATTCAAACTCTGACACCTTCCAATGAGGAAATGTCTGCAACAACCCTAATGATCTACCAGGTGCAGTTGAAATTCAGTCTCAGAAAGACCAGATATCGCTGAAGTTCCAAATAAGCACACTTTCATACCTAGAAAAAGCCTTTTTAATACGATCTAAATTCTCACAATTTAGCTAAAAAATAAACATGGCAAACAGACATCTGTAAAATCAATGCACGCAGTGTATTAATAACAGAAAAACTTCTTTGTAGTCTAAAAGAAGCCAGCAAATGCTGTGTGAAAATTACTCAAAACAGAATTTACCGGTTCACACACCTTGACAGCAACAGCTTCATGATTACAGTTTGAAAAGCCATCATTCAGCAGCCACTAAAAGAGGATTTCAGCCTTGACTCTTGATAAATACACATTCCAAACAAAGGCAAACATTGAAACAAAAAGTAAAAGTATCATTCCAGACTATAAATCCACTTTTATAGTTTAGGTAATCGAGGGAGTAAATATTCTCCTTCCTCTTCCCTTCCTCTTAAAAAGAAAAGAAAAATAACATGCTGGAGCTTACTGTAGAGCAACTCCAGTTACTGTTTTTCCCAGGCACAATGAGGGGATGCACACTTCTGCAATTCTAACATTTGCGTGTCTAATACCAAGTAACCCAGCAAAAACCCAAGTCATTAAATTCTGTGGACGGCATTTAGTTTCACAGATTTTCCTCTTGCTGTACCTTCGAAAGTTTCCTGCCAACCAGCGAAAACACGAGTAACTAACTGTTCATGAGATTACACTACACTTACAGCTCTGTTGCTGTTTGAAATGTATTTTATTTTCTTTATAAAATAACGGGTAATCTTTAAAATTGATTTTAGATGGTTTGAGGCATTACACCAGAGAAGTAATGAGCACTAATGTCAATGATATTGGACACAAATTCATTTTAGCTTTATTTCATGTCCAGTACAATTCTGCTAAGCCTTGAACTGCTAAAGCACTGTTATTAACTCGGCAGTAACCTAACACATGGAACAGCAAACAAAAGTGATAAGAGTACAGACTGATCAGGACCTCAAGGCTACTGTCCTTTTTCTGCAGCTATAATTCAATTTCCAATTTTACTTTACATTGGACTCATTATTTCACAGTAATTTTCTTTTCTGCTTCACAGTGCCATCTGGAGGTGGAGTGAGGAGAAACCAAGGCAAAGAAATGGAAAGATGTTTATAAAGCTAAGCACACACACACACACACACACACACACACACACAAGTACGTGTGTGTTCACAGCGTGTTCACATTGAGACCAAACACTCAATGCGTTTTGCAAATAATTTAAAAGCATCTTGAAAGCAAATACACGAACACCTTTCACCTGGTTGCACACTTGAAGCATTTCTTTTTCCTCTTAGCTAAAAACTAACTCCTGCTTTTCCCACCCCCTCTGAACCAACAGGTTAGGCTGCTTTTTAATTGCACTCTTCAAGCAATCAGAATGAAAAATCAATTCTGTGCTACCCATAAATGTTATGCTTTCCTGTTCAAAATGCTCCTTCTTCAAGGAAATAACTATACATTTGTCACCAGATGGTACTAGTAGTATTAAGTGTTGGTATAGCAGTCATTCTCCGGGGCTTTTGCTGTCATGGGGTCTCACTGTGTGAAGGGTTGTGCATCTAAAAAACAAATTTGGCTCCAAGGACTTTAAAAATCAAAATAACAAAACACCGCCTAACAAATTAAAAAGGCAAGAGGAAGGAGAGTGTCACAACATTAATACTTGGACGTCTTCGCAGAGGCTGAACGCGTGCGCAGTCACATCACAACCAGTAGCTCTCCCAGTGCTTCTCCAACACTTTTATTACCGCCAGTGTCAGCGCAAAGCTGTGGTAACAGCGATGTAAATCAGCTTTCACTGCTGCTGTGCTAATGGAAGAGTCACGGCTCACAGTGATAATTCCTATAAACTGACTGGGCATATTTAAGAGAACAACAGACCTTCTATGCACGCCTGGAATAAGAACGAAAGGCTAAATCCTGCAAGTCTTGATCCCATCAGCAGTCATTATGTGTCAGAGATCTCACTCCTCTCAGCCAGACTGCTCACATGCATAATGACTATTTATGTGATTAAGGGGGCTGCAGGATAAGGCTCTACATTAGAATTAGAGATAATAAAATCATTTTTTATTCACAGCCATGTGAATCTTTGTTTGTAAGCTTTCAGTAAATGCTCCTGATCTCTAGACCTTTAAAGAAGCAGGGCTGAAAAACATCACTTCATGACCAGAAGAAATAATATCATTTTT